GTTAGGATGTCCAGGGGTGTTAATCAACACTCCAAATGTCGAAAGGTGTGAAGAAATCGGAAGTTTTTCCCGAACGGTCGCGATTTTCCGCTCAATCCGAACTGCTCAGAAAAAACGGGCTGCCCGCCCGTTTTGTCGAGCTACCCGCCCGTTTATTTCTGAATTGCTCAGAAAAAACAGGCTGCTCTCCCGGGTTTCTTGTTCTTGCAAAACACCCGCAAAAGCCTTTTGTTCATCTTCTTCTTGCAATTTCTTGTGTTTGTGTTCTTAGTAGAGCAAACTAAGATCACTTCTCTCTTCATTGTATCTCAAAAACGTATTCCGGAAAGTCCTTTGCTCGTATAGGACGGAATAACGTTTTTAGGAAAGTGTATTACGCCTTGAAGAGTTATCCGGTTCCTATTTACTTTTCTGTTATTGTTCTTCTTTTTATATCCCAGATTCTTAACAAGTTGGGTGGTTGTATTGTGTCGGAGAGTCATTTCATGGAGGAAGCAAACTGCAAAGAGACAAAGATGTTCGTTCCTTTGGCAGCGACAGCCATTTTCCAGCTGTCGACCTCATCCTTTTTTCCTTTTGATTTTTATTTTATTGAAACATTTTTTTGCAATTTTTTTTTAAATTCATTACATCCGAATGGGCAATATCCCTCCTAAAACTTTATTCTGAATATATTTCTAATTATTAAACATATTTTTCATTTTTTTATTTTACTATTTCTGATTTAGACCTAATTCTGAATACTAAACGTTGAATCTTAAATCATAAACCAATCAAAAACATTAAACCAATTCTAAACCATAAATTCACAAGTTTGTAGATTTAGAGTTCAGTATTTTGGATTTTACAATTGGTTTAGAGTTTAGGCTTTAGAAGTTAGGATTAAATATTTAAAGTTTAGAATTTACGATTTAAGATTAAAGGTAAATTATAGATAGTAATATTAAAAAACTTATCAATTGACTCAATCAAATGATTAGGATTACGTTCAGAGGACACAATATTACGAATTGTATATAAATCACATAATTTATGTTGGATTTGTTTTTATTAGAACGTACATTTTCTTAAAAGCGAAACGAACCAAACTCTAACCATAAATAATTTTGGTTTTGTATGTTCTATTTCATTTTTTAAAACCATAGTATAGATACGTAATCTATGATTAATCCTAATATCTAAAGATGTAACTTTTTGAATGAACATATTTATATTGAAAACAAAATGCAAAATCCGATTTAAATTTTATGATATAATATAATATAACGTGAATCATAAATGTTATTCTATGGTAAACATATTCATGACAAATGATAGGTATTAATATTATTATGCATGTCCTGTGTATCCATAAACCTCTTAACAATGCGTATAATCAGAACATATTATATTCAAACAAAACCTATAATCAAAGAACAAACTAAGAATATATCGAGGATTTATTATGGGTTTAAGGCCCATTAACCTAGGCCCATTAAGAATCAATATCGGCCCAAGCCTACAAACATGTGTTCGGGGGGCGGAAACTACGTATAAAAGGAAACAAAGAATTTGAATTTGTGAAGAGAAAAGCGAGTTGAAACCGGTGCCGCAAATTAGGGTTTAGCGGAGTGATTTCGCCATGAAACGACCGAGAGAGGGAAGAATATGGAAGAATCGCAGTCTTGATACACGTGATTCGAGCTCTTGGAATGGAGATGACGAAGACGGAGGGAGAAACCGAGATCCGATCCCTCTCGATCTCACGTTAGAAATACTGGCAAGATTGCCGGTGAAGTCGCTCACCAGATTTCGCTCTGTATCGAAGCTTTGGGCGTCGATTATTCACGGCCGTGATTTCATCAACTCTTTCGTAGTTAATCCCTGGAATCAGCCACGCCTCTTGTTCGTCTTTCAATATTGTAAAAAGTGGTTCATCTTCTCGTCGCCTCAGAACATGAATATGGAGGAAATTTCGTCCTCAAGAGCCACTTTCCATATGTCGTGTCCCGAAGATCGACCCTGGTTTCCCCATTCTGGATCTGTCTACGGCTTGATCTGTTGCGGATTGCCTCCCAGTTTCGTGGTGTTAAACCCTAGCACAGGACAGTCGATAAGGTTGCCCAAAGTGAAATCTAGGAGACTTGGCATAAAAAAATATCTCGGGTATGATCCGATCGTCCATCAACACAAGGTACTGTGCATGTCGGTTTGTCTAAGCAACCGCTGGGGAGAATCATTTGTAGCTGGGGAGTTTCAGGTTTTGACATTAGGAGCTCGGAAACTGTCATGGAGAATGATCGAATGCAGTGTTCCTCATTATCCTGAAAAAGATCATTATTGTTCTGAATATGATGGGATATGCATAAACGGGGTTGTGTATTATCAAGCTCGCTCCCAAAAGTATAATGGTATTTCCATGATCATGAGCTTTGATGTTGGCTCTGAAAAGTTCAGTTTTATCAAACCCCCCGAAGGCATCGATTTCCACCTCTTTCATTTAATTCTGATCAACTACAAAGGCAAATTAGCTAAGATCTGTTGTGGTAGTGATATAGATTTGTGGGTTCTTGAAGATGCCGAGAAACACGAATGGTCGAGGAAGATACATGTTCCGTCACCTTCATGGGGTTATCCAATTAGGAAGAGTATTAAGTATCACATTGTGACCGTCAATGATGAGGGTGAGATTGTTTTTGCGCCACGGTATCTGAATCATCCCTTGCGTGTCATATATTACAATCTGGAGAGAAACACTGTCCGAAAGGTTGAAATCAAAGGGATTGCAGGTGATGAGTTTAGGCTTCAAGATCAAGACAAGTCTCGGCGTTTTAATCTGACGACCCTTGCAAACCACACTGAGAGTATGATGCCCTTGTAAGTGGTCATTTCCTTGCTAACTGGACTTCATAACCAATTGTAAGTTTTCATCAATAAGATCATGGACCTTTGCATTCCTTTTTGGTCGTATAAAATCTGGTTTGTTTCGTCGTGCTTTCTCTGATTATCATTTTGGCTTTAGCTTGTGTGTGTGTGTGTTGGTTTCTGCTGGTTTATATATCTGGACATTATAAGGGCATTAGGATTGTCTCTAGCTAGGTTTTGGGCACTGTAGAATCATCTCACGTTTGAAGAAAGGCTCATCCTTTGCTTTGTTTTCGGTAATTCTGCATTCTTGTTTTTTTATTAAAGATGGCCAAGAGAAAGAGATTATTATGTGTTGGTTTAATAGAAGGACTGATTCTTCCTCGAATGCAGTTTTGAAGATTAGACACTCTGTTTTAATCATCTAAAGAGAAAATATATGTTTTTTTAAAATAATTTGCATGAAAACTAACCAAAACATTTAGCAGTCCTCTCTCCTATTTTTAGTAAGATTTCGTAAGAAGTTTGGATTTGGATAATTCAAATATTTTTTTGGTTTCTGAAATTTAGAAAACCGAAATGTTTCGGGTTTATTATGATAATGCATTCCACAAGCTATGATTACCTTTTTAAAACGTTAGCTTTGTTTGCTACTAATTTTGCCGCGTGTATACAAACTAGTTTATACAGTAGTTGTATTTTTCTCATTTCAATCTTTCGACTTTACAAATCATCGAATCTTGATTTTATTGGATTTCGTTTCGAACCGAATTTACTTAATTTCTTAATTCACATTAACCCAAAAAAAAAGAATTTACTTAATTCAATCCGAAACCAAAGTCAATGATATATCATTTGACCACCTCTCTAAACCAGTCTCCATGTTTTTTTTTGGGTGAAACCACATGATTTAACCTGAACTTTTGAGAGACCAATGGGGGGTTGCCCACAACAAGAAACAAACAAATTGCTCTCGTCTTTTGTTAACATAAAAAAAAAAAGACAATTCCAAAGGGAAAAAGACAAAATTAAACCAAAAAAAAAAAACAAGAAAAGCTACATCCTACATATAGACAGATGCGTGCGGCCCACGCTCCTCCTAATCTCTCTCTCTCCCTCCCCGTCATTTTCTCTTTCTATTTTAAAATATTTCTCCCTGTCGCAAAAAAAGGAGATAAAAAAAACCCTTCTCCTTCCTCTTCCTCCGGTTTTTTGAACTCGTCTTTTGATTGTCTTGTCCTTTTCAGATGTTGTTCTGAAGCTTTCCTGTCATGTTCTTGTTCGAATTCGCCTTCAGGCCATTTTTCGTCGCCATGCAATTTTCTCACAGAAGAATCTGAAACTAAGATCTCAGAGACCGACGCTCTGTTCGGCTTTGTCGGAAGTTTTTGTGAAAGGTACGATTCTCATTAGCGATCTTTCTGAATTGGATTTATCTGTTTTCGTGAATTTCTCAGGAGAATGCGATGAACATAAGTTCCCATAATCTCTGCAATTTGTCTGAAAACGGGCATTTAGGTTTGGAATCTAATGTCTGTTTTGAACAGAAAAGAAAAAGACAGAGACAGAGGCTTTGATCTTTCAGAAGAAGCATTGTTAAGTTGCTACAATGGGTGATGACAAAGTTTCCAACGACTTGCTCATATTTTGCCATGGCAATGGCGATGCTCAAGAACAAGCTCCCAAGGATTCTTCTTCTTCAGAGTTCTTCAACGACATCAATGCCGATTCGTCGATCTCCGATCTCTTGAACTTGGAAGACGTCGATTCGGCTAATCCGTTCCTCGTCGATGTTCCCGTGTCAAACGAGCCTCGAGATCGAGATTCGGAACAACCCGACAGTCCCTTCTTCGATCAACTCGACACCCCGAAGATTTACGTTGCTCCAAGAGTTGCCGTTAGCCATCAGGACTCGTTCTCAGAGGATTCCCATGTCGATGATCACGTCGAGGAAATGGGGATCTCCTCTGGATCTCCGAGGAAAGAGGCGAGACAAGAGCTCGCTCCTCTTCCTCGTCTTAGAGTTCCTGGATCGCCCCGAACTCTTGTCTACCCGAGAGCAGCGGTGTCTCCGCGTTTTGGGTCCCCGAGAGGCGGCATCGAATCCCCTATGAGCTCTTCAGGTACACCTAAAGTTGGAGTGATCGATACGACTGCACCTTTCGAATCAGTTAAGCAAGCGGTTTCAAAGTTCGGAGGGATTACAGATTGGAAAGCTCATAAGATCCAAAACATAGAGGTAAAATTCTCGTGTTTTCATCATCTACATTTTCGAGTTTTGTCGGAGATTCAGAATTAATGTTTTTTGAATACCCAAATTTATCGGTGTTCAGAGACGAAAAATGGTGGATCAAGAACTCCAGAAGATGCAGGAAGACATACCCGAGTACAAGAAACAGGCTGAGTTAGCAGAAGAGGCGAAACAACAAGTGCAAAAGGAGCTAGAGGAAACAAAGAGACTCGTTGAGGAACTCAAGCTTAAGCTCGAGAAGGCGCAAAAGGAGGAGCAACAAGCAAAACAAGACTCGGAGCTCGCGAAACTCCGTCTCGAAGAGATGGAACAAGGGATAGCTGACGAGGCCAGCGTCGCCGCCAAAGCTCAGCTCGAGGTGGCTAAAGCGAGGCATTCATCCGCGGCTTCCGAGTTGAAATCCGTCGGGGAAGAGATCCAAACGGTCTCTAAGGAATACGAAACCTTGTTAAAGGAAAAAGACTTGGCCGTGAAGAAAGCTGATGATGCCGGGTTGGAGGCGAAGGAGATAGAGAAGAAGATGGAAGGATTAACGATCGAGCTGATGGCCACAAAAGAGATGTTGGAGTCAGCACACTCGACTCATCTCGAAGCTGAGGAGAAGAGATTCGGGGCGGCCATGGCTCGAGATCATGATATCTATAATTGGGAGAAGGAATTGAAGATGGTGGAAGATGATATCGAGAGGCTTAACCAAGAGATTCAAGCCGCTGAAGACGTGAAAGCAAAACTAGAGGCCGCTTCGTCGCTTCTTCGGGATTTGAGGGCCGAATTATCGGCTTACATGGAGAATTCCAAGCTGCGGGAAGACCCAAATGGCGATTCTCTGAAGCAAGAGATAGGCCAAAACGACATACAAACAGCGGTTGATTCAGCGAAGAACGAGCTCGAAGAAGTGAAATCCAACATCGAGAAAGCAACTTCCGAGGTGAAAGCCTTGAAGATAATCGTCCCGTCGTTGCAGTCGGAGCTCGAAAAAGAGAGAAAGGTTCTCGAAGAGACAAAGCAGGGAAACAACAAGCTGGAACAGATAGATTCAGATGTGAGCTCGGTTCAGACGAAGCATAAAGAAGCAAGAGAAGAACTAGCAGACATTGCCAAGAAGCTACAACAAGCAGCCAAAGATGCGGAGGAGGCGAAATCTCTCGCCCAAGCTGCTCGGGACGAGCTGAGTAAGGCAAAGGAAGAATCTATTCAAGCGAAGGGAGGAGTTCGCACAATAGAGAACAGATTAATTGAGGCGAAAAAGGAAATGAAGGCAGCTCGGGCATCGGAGAAGTTGGCCTTAGCGGCAATCAAAGCATTGCAAGAAAGCGAATGTGCTCAAAGGTTCGAGGACGTTAACTCACCTCGAAGCATAATAATCTCCGTGGAGGAATATTACGAGCTAAGCAAGCGGGCCCACGAGGCAGAGGAGGCGGCTAACGCGAGGCTAGCGGAGATCGTCGCCCAGATTGAGGTGGCTAAAGAGGACGAATCCAGAATATTGGAGAAACTCGAGGAAGTGAACAGAGAGATGGCTGCAAGAAAGGAAGAGCTAAGACTCGCGATGGAAAAAGCTGACAAAGCAAGAGAAGGAAAGCTGGGCATGGAGCAAGAGTTGCGGAAATGGAGATCGGAAAATGAAAAGAGGAGAAAAGAAGTACCTGTGGAGCTTGAGAAAAGCCCGAGATCGAGCACTGAGCAGACGCATAAGGATCACAGCTTTAGCCCGTCAACAGACACTGCTCCTCGTTCTCCAGACAAACCAGGACCCGATGCTTCGGGTGGACAGGGAACCAGCAACAACGAAGCTCATACCAATGTGATTCCTGAAACGAAGAAGAAAAAGAAGAAGTTTTCTTTGTTCCCAAAGGTTTTCATGTTCTTGTCGAGGAAGAAATCGCACAAATGAGACGTTCAATAACCGAGGACTCGCAGGTAGGTTTTGCGTATCCATCCTTCACTTTTTTACATTGGATTCCTTCTTTTTTTCCCTTATAGCAACATCGAAAGAGAGTCAGAATTCCATGAAGAGACAACACTGGAGGTAAGAAAGCAGTTACCTTTCCATGTAAGGTTTTCTTGGAAGACCGATTTGTTGTTTTGTCGGTACTGTCTGGCCGAGAAAATCTAGAAACCTTCCGGCTAACTTGCCTGTTTTCTATGGCAAATTGTATGGAAATTCTCCTTTCGAAAGAATGAAATGAACAATTTACAGTGTTTACACAGAATGCTTCTACCATACATTTCATTGCTTTTCAGCAGCAGAGTAAGAAAGGGTCTGAATCTGATGATGGTCTTGTTCCAAGGATTAGAAAGATCATGTTTGTACTGAACATACCCTGTGGCTCAAGCCCCTCGAAAAGATCTCAAATCCTCAATCCACTCCTAATGACATCATCGGAACCCTAGCTGACACGGAGCAGCTATAAGCAAAACCCTAATTAGCAATTCAGATTCCAGATTCGAAGTACGAAAGTTTTCAGGGAAATGATTGATTGATTGATCTGGTGTCGGCGAACAGAATTCCGGCAACGAAAAGCCAGACGGAAGGAGATTGAGCAAATCTCTGAAGCAAACATCATCAAAACCCACAAAAAAAAAAAGAGTGATGAAGAGGAAATTGAAGAAATCTACGGCTCACAATCCGATTGGGGTACAGAGGAGGATCGAGCCCCCGGGAGCCACGTGGCAAGTTCCTCGGCGGCTCGAACCCCCACTCGT